TTTAATGGTGAAAAGATATACATATATTTAGAATTAGCCAGCTGGACTCAGTTTAGATGATCCCAATTTTGTTGGCAACATCCAAAGCATCGTAATCAGGAGCCAGTCGAACATATGCCTTCTTCTCTCCATCAGGCCGAATCAGGGGACCTTGGCCACATCAATGTCATAGAGCTTCTTCACAGCCTGTTTGATCTGGTGCTTGTTGGCTTTAACATCCACAATGAACACAAGTGTGTTGTTGTCTTCTATCTTTTTCATGGCAGACTCAGTGGTCAGCGGAAACTTGATGATAGCATAGTGGTCCAGTTTGTTTCTCCTGGGGGCGCTCTTCCGAGGATATTTGGGCTGCCTCTGGAGTCGCAGTGTCTTGGGCCGCCGGAAGGTGGGTGACGTGCGGATCTTCTTTTTTTTGTGGCTGTGGACACCTTTCAACACTGCCTTGTTGGCCTTTAAAGCCTTCGCTTTGGCTTCGGCTTTAGGAGGGGCAGGAGCTTCCTTCTTCGCTTTCGGCGCCATCTTGTGAAAAGGGTCCTGTTTCTACTATTGTTTTAGGAAGAATTAGGTTTCTGAGGATGATGAGAAGTTAGGATGAAGCTGATTTGCTCAGGAACACACTGTCTGGTACCTAGCTGATACCTAATAAATATGCATTGAACAGAATCATTAAAAACATATTTTTTCCATAAATATTTACATTTTTCCTACTTTAAACACAATGCCCCATAGCAAATGAAAATGCTGTAAGCTTTATCTTTCTCAAGATAATCAAAGAAGCGTTTGCCTCTCCCTTGGAGTGAGGAATGGGTATAAGCCTGGTTTTCGATTTCCTGTTTCAGAATTACCTGAGTAGCTTTAAACACTTGGATTCCTAAGCCACACGCTAAGTGTACTACTACATAAGATTTCTGGGGGTGGGACAGGAGACAACCATATTTTAAAGAGTTTCCTTAAGTAAGTCTTTCCGTACATCCAAGTTTTTGGCTGGAGGGTCTCAGATTTCATCTTCAGGCTTGGGGCACGTAACAGTTACAAACTGGCTGTGGCAGCTCCCTGGCTCTAGAAGAAAACACCAGCCTAGCTTTTTAGCACTTCTTTTGTCTGTTTTGTTCAAGCATTGAGGCACTGATGAAGGAAACACAAAATCTTATATAGATACTAACGAACTTCCTTCCATTTTATAACGAATAATCATAACACAGCAGATAGATTAGTTGTTTACAATGAGTAGTTGTGTCATAGTGTCTAGCTGAGTATAGGCTCTGCAGGTGACAGCCGAACAGGATCAGGCTCTTTGCCTAAATTCATCCTCACTCCCATGTTAACCTAGTAAACACACAGGGAATGGTGCCAGCGAAGGTCAGGTACCGTTTGTCCCCTGGCAGCACATCATACTGACATTCTAATTTTCATGCTTGGAGGTTAGTTTTTATGCATCCGGGTTGTTGGATTTCCAGGAAATAATGAATCTGAAGCCATGTGTAATTTATAAATACTAGAATATTAGAAGATCATTCTAAGATGGTAAAAGGTTTAAATTCTATAACATGTAGACATAATTGAGTAATCAAAATTTTCAAAGTACTTGCTTCATTCTACATTGCAGAACCATCATTTCATCATGTAATGAGAGAAATACTGCATTTATACTTGCTCGTGGTAACAGCTGAGCTGTTGCTTATATTTATTTTCTAATAGGATGATGTTTAAAAGGCAAACAGAGGAGCATGCTTTAATTGTTACAATAAATTTATTTATCTTTACTATGAATTGGAAAAATAATTTACTCTAAATGATGTGATTTCTTAACATTTGTTATTGGGAGGAAGAAATAAACATGAAGTAAATGAATTTAGGCTGTGGAGACAAGTAGGTTTCTGTACAGAGATGACATGTTGCTATTTTTGTAAATAACTTTGCTTTTTCAAGAAATCAATACATACTACTGAGGAATTTTTGGAAAATACAGAAATGTATAAAGCACAAAATAAAAATTGTTCACTGAGTGTTCTATTTCAGTTGTCTAATATATTAACTTGTTTTCAAGGAAAAGAAAGTGGGAAAAAGTTAGCTGGCATTTTTAGGGTACCTGCTGGGCATTGTGTTATTCAGATTTATTTATGTCATCTCATTTAATTCACCCAACAACCTTATGTGATAAGAATTATCATCTCCATTTTCTAGACTATGACATTTGAAGCTCTGAGACATCAATTAACTTGCCTGGTTTGAACCAGTTGCTCAGTGCAGAGCTGGTTTGTCTACTTTAATGTCTAGGCTCCTTTTGCTAATCAGAGTGATTTGTTTTCAAGTCTATTCGGCTTCGCTTTGGCACTAAAATAGATTTTCCTTTTCATACATATGAAAGTAGTTACTCAAAAATTGCACTTTGGTGTGTTAACTCCGATGGCTGAGTATGGTCTGAACAGGAGGATCCAGGATCTTTTCACTGACAGTGACTAGAAAGATACTTCAAGATAGAACTCCTTAGTGGGAAGAGAAAGGCTTGGATCAACCAATCTCTAAGGAAAAGGATACAGAGTTGTCTGACTTGACTCTGTTCTGTGCAGAACGGAATCAGTGCAGGGGTCAAATGCAGACTTAGAGATGCAGGCAAAACCTGCCATGTGTATGTGCGCTTTCAAAATAATTCCAGATGGGAAGCTAAAATGATAAACATCATTTTCTGAAAATTAGTTAAAAAACTCATTTTCTTCTGCTCCCAAGTTGGTCCCAGGCAAAACTGCATTTTTACTTCCAGAGACATGCTGAAGTTAGGAGGCAGGCCATGTGGTGTGGTGGGGGTGGGGAGAGGTGGGTCAGGGTGGGAGGTGGGATCCTGGCACAGGTGTTTCCAATCTGTATGCTCTCATGCACATCGCCGGTGGGAGAGGAGCTGTGCGGGAAAGCCCAACATGAGAACATACAAAAGAATTGCCTGGCTTGGCCAATACAGATGACATTGCCTCTTACTCAGCTCCTTGAATGCCTTGCCTCTTTCTCCTTGGTTTGCACAGGAAGGGGGACTCAGGGCAGGATGCATATCTGAGGCTGGCCAGACTGTCTGTGCAACTATTGCCTCCTACAATGGTGTCCACCAGCTGTGAAGCCCCATCAACCTTGAACGTTTGGTGGGCGGTGATGGTGAGAGATGTCTGCCTCCTTGCCAATGCCAGGATCCTTTTTATAGATGGAGATGAAGCTGGGGCGCCCCTGGAAGTCCTTGGCCTCTTTCCTGGTCTGTGTGGCAGAACACAGGCTCACAAGGCCAGATGGCAAAGAGGGTGAAAGTTACTTTCAGGCACCCAGCCTTTATTTTTCTTGTATTTATTTCTCTTTTCTCAATGCCTGAATGCCCTTGTCACTTATTCTGATCAAAGTCTGTTTCTACTTCCCTCGTATCAGTCTTTCCCCAAGATGGGTATTCATGTTTCTATGGAAAAGGAATGATTTGTAGCTGGTATTTGAACAAATATTGCTTATTTGAATAGTTATAGATAATTTAAGGTATTTACCAAATAGGAAAGATGAAATAAAATCCAGATTTTTAACAGATATTATTGCATCAGTTGTTGTTTTCGGTATGATAAATAATAAGCTGCTATAATGAAGAGGTCCTCAAGATACAGCATCTTTTTTTTTGTTGTTGTTGAGACGGAGTCTTGCTCTGTCACCAGGCTGGAGTGCAGTGGGGTGATCTTGGCTCACTGCAACCTCTGCCTCCAATTTTCAAGTGATTCTCCTGCCTCAGCCTCCCAAGTAGCTGAAACTACAGGTGTGCGCCACCATGTCCAGCTAATTTTTGTATTTTTAGTAGAGACGGGGTTTTACCATGTTGGCCAAGTTGGTCTCAATCTCTTGACCTCGTGATCTGCCCACCTCAGCCTCCCAAAGTGCTGGGATTACAGGCGTGAGCCATCTCGGCCGGCGATACTGCATCTTAAATAAGAGTTTGTTGTCTCCAATGTAACTGTGTGGAGCTTGGGTCCCTGGATTTGTTTAGGAACCTGGGTTCTTTTTCCGTGGTGTCATTTCATCATCCTCTACAGCATTGTCCTCCTGTAGGAGATTGAAGCTGCCACATGACCATACTATTTCTAACTTGTTAGAAGGGAGAAAGAGAAGAACTTCATGGCAAGGGATTTCTTTTAAATAAGTAGAAGTTTCACATATTGTGTCTGTTGATATTCTGTTCTCACACGGTTGTACCCTGCTGCAAGGGTTATTGGGTGGCAGTGTCCACAGCTAGAACTCAGTAATGTGGGTGTGCTCTCTTTCCCCCAGCAGGGACAGAATGAAAACCAGGGGCCAGATGGCAACCTCTGCTACAGATTAAACATGAGTTTAGAGAAAACGAATAGGTAACAAATAGTACAAATTGTACACAGATGGTATAGAGCAAAATTGCAAAGGAGGTAAGGGAATGACTGAGGCTTAGGAAGTACTGCACATGAATGATGGATCGAGTTTAAAATCTTCTCTTGGTCAACAAAACAGAAGACTAATTGAAGTGTAGCAGAAAGTGGGTTGGGCTTGGATCAAGGAATGTGAGTTCTAGCTTTTCCCTCTTCCCTGGGCTGTGTGTTCTGGGTCTGCCACTAACCTAATTTAAAATTTGGTTTAATCATAATTTCTTCCTGTAGCATAATCTGCAAAAAAAGATATTGGATGAATGCTGAGGCTCCTTTCATACTTAAAGTTCTTGCGAATTTCTCATTTTAGAGCTTCATCTTCAACAACTTATAAGATAGAACATTTTTGGATGAATTAGAGGTGTAGACATCCCTGAACCTCAGAAATCTCTAATCTAGGTGGATTGTCTCTCTCTCTCTCTGTGTCTTTCTCTCTCTCTCTTTCTCTGTCTCACACACACACACGTGCACACACACAGTGGTGAAGTAGGCTTAGCACCTGTGAATTGATGCCCATAAAATCACATACCCAGCCCACGCCTCTCTGCGCAATCCTCAATTCCAATGTGATGCCAAAGAGGTGGCCCTCCTGGGACAGTTGGTATAATTGCTGACAACCTATAATCTGTAATCTTCTCCCAGGCTTGGTTACAGAGGAATTCTGGGCTCTGTTTTTATTCTCCTCTTGGGAGGTGTGTGACCATTTTCCTTTTGCTGCTCAGCAATTAGAGGCTCCTGACAATGTGGTCGGTCAAAGAGTGCTCCCCAGAAGGAAGGAGAATCCCCTATTTTTGGCAGTAAAGTTTCTCTTGATCTAGCCTTCCAGTGGCTTCTGATTCTCCTTTCTTTCCTGTTCTTGGGGACTTTTTTTTTTTTTTCAATTAGAGATTGAATAGTGAAAAGTTGGGATTTTTGTAAAACCTTGAAAGCAATACACAGGAAACAAGTTGATCATACTATGCAGAGCAATATTCTTGGTGTAGAGAGATGAAGAGAAAAGACATCATTCCTGCCCTAAGTTGCTCATGAATCTTTCCATGATAGTTTAGGGATAACCTGCTTTGAGACAGCAAAATTGACCAGTGACATTTTTCAAAGTGTTTTATGGCACTC